ATTCATATTCTCTCTATAATTTAACTGCCTCAATATATTTCTAGCATTCTGGTCACTCAACCTGACATCAATTTACATTCATTCAGCACCCATTTATTCTTGACTTTCTTTCCTTCTTGTTTTACCGTAGCTCTCCCATTCCCACTAACTTTTCTTTCTTCTGACATATTCAATTCTAATTCTCTGTAACAAATAAGGCAAAAGCATGCTTTTGTTTGTTGTACTGATCAGTAAACCAAAATTTAGATTGTTTCTTGTTTTAAACAGCATTTATTTATGTATTCGTTGCCTATCTCACTACAGTATACAAATAGGCACTACCATTAGTTTATTTTTATTAATCTACATTAAAAACTCCTTTAATTACTTCATTTGAAATGCTGGCTTGTAAATGAAACCATCTAATTAACCATGTTTTATTGGATATATCTCACCCTTCTTTTTCCTGCTTGCGCACCTACAATGGAAGAACGCATAGAACTTTACACTAATTTCCTCTTCAGTTCTTTTACCTCCCCCCTCCAATATAAAATATGTTATAGACAATTCAGAGGAAGGCAGAGTACTATAAACGAAGGAAAAAATATGAAAGATATCTCCTTCCTTCTTCTGTCAATGGGATCTTTTAGTGCAGAGGCCCCCAACCTTTTAGGCACCAGACACCGGTTCTGTGGGGAGAGGTTCTTCCGTGGACTGGAGGAGGTGTGGTTTCGTGTGCTGCCTGCATCCCATGGATGGGGCTTCACTTGTTTGCATAGACTGGTTTCTGGCATGCCATGGACCGGTGCCGATCTACGGACCGGGGACCTCTGTTTTAATGGATAAAAGGTTTTCTGTATTTTTTGTACTGATTTGAAAGTTATTTATATATTTGTTTACTTGAGTTTTACCCTGTTGTACTGTTCTGACAAGCCTTAAAATTGACTAACAAATTTTAAAGCAAACACACCCAACACATATTCAATATTTAACTAGTGTGTGTGTTTGTGTGTGTATCCATATCTATATCCCTACAGAATCCTAAACAGTGAGAAAGTGATAGCCAGGTCGTAATACTCCAGTCAGAGGCACCACCTCACTTTAAAGGGTGGTGGTTGTGGAGGAAAAATTGGAAAAGGATGCCTTATGTATACCACTTTGTACTCCAATTTCCTTCTGTAAAAATAAGATGTTCATGCTTCTTTATATTTAAAAAATAGTCTGAATTTTCTCAATTGCTTTAAGTTCTATTTATTTCTATTTTTAAGAGTAGCACTTACCATATTTGTAAAAGTAAAATGCTTCTTAAACATACTGCTGGGTAAAGGAGATTATCATTTTAGGCAGCGTTATCTAGCATCAATTCTATCTGCCAAAAAAGTAAGAAATATAAATGTTAATACATTAAATAATAAATGCCTTAGTTAGAAATCTGCCACAAGAAGATCAGAATTAGTGGAACATAGTGCCAATTCTTTTTGATTTATTAAAATGACTAGCTGTACCCGGCCACGCGTTGCTGTGGCTCAGTCTGGTTAAATGGAAAAGCATGTTTTTACCTGTCACAGGTGTGACATCTATATAATAGTAGGTATATAAAAACACGCGCGTATTCGAATGCAACGTTGTGTCAAAATTTCAAAGCAATCGGTGAAGAACTTTCGGAGATTTAAGATTTTGAACAAACGAACATTTACATTTTTATTTATATAGATATAATCTTTAGTCTTCATAAATTACTGTAACTTTATTGTCTTTCTTCAGAAAGCAAAAATCTTTCTAAATAAACAAGCTATCTAAAAAAGAAAGAAAGAATGCAAAGCATTAAGGATCACTCATCTTCTCCTCACCAACTGGAAACTTGATCATAATCATAATGTGACAAGGGCAGGTCTTTGTAGAAGTGCCAAGGTATGAAATTATTTCATTTAAGGAGGCTATCCTGTTACCTGAAAGAGTTCTGTTTTGATGATAGGGCAGAGTTAACTTAAATCCATTTTTTTCAGAATATAAAATTTAAAATTGTTCATTGATGCAATTAAATACAAAATGAATCAGTTAGCTCCATTCAGCCGATACACCTTAATACATATACATCATACAAGACCAAGACACATATGATACTCTACCTCAAGATTGCCAACTCTGAAACTAAACTTATTTCTTAATCAAACGTGAAAGCCCTTACTTTCAAATTTTAAAAAAAAGTTCTATGTCAAATATTTGGCACATTTATATAAGTGATATGGTTCAATAATGTCCAAACTTTTACAACAAACCATGACTATAAATACAATATTCAGAAATGATTTATCCATTTAGCAATGCCACCCTACAAACATTTCTGGTTTTAATTAATCTTAAAATTGACCTAGCAAAGAAAAAAATGCCAACAAAAGAAAACCTCAATGTAAATAATACAGGATTGTGAATAATTTTCAAGGTAATTGAAACAGCTTTTTAATAAGGTACAAAGTTTACAATGCAGTGGAGGTTAGTACAACAAAAATTAAAAACTCCATTCGCCTTCCAATAAACCACAGCATTTGTACAGCTTGATACAAGGGGAAGGGATTTCCTTTTCTATCAATGTTTTTTGTTTTTGTGCTAGACCCAAAGGTAGGATCAATTAGAAAAGGGCAGAAGGCCATTTGTGGCTCCATAAATCTGAACAGTTTTGTATCTCCTTTTTTATTTCAAAAATATTCAAATAACGCTCACCTTTTCTTGGTGCCTTATTTTAATTTTAAAAACTGGAAATAGCCTGGCCTTCTCTGAACCTTTGAGAAATGCATGCACAAAGGAAGGTCTACATGTGTGAACCCCTTTTGCAAAATACACTAAATTATGATAAAGTGTGCCATGGTTTACTACAGTGGTTCTCAACCTTTTTAATGCCGCGACCCCCAACTGGTCGTAAGTCGAGGACTAAACCGGTCATAAGTCGAGGACTACCCAACCGGTCGTAAGTCGAGGACTACCCAACCGGTCGTAAGTCGAGGACTTTCCCTGCCCAGGAGCGCCGCGCATGCGTGGTTCCGCCCCCTGCGCCGGCCGAGGCGTAGCTGGCAAGCGGCAGAGACGGAGCAGGCCGACCACCAGCTGGCCCAGCTCAAGGGAGGTAAGACACCCGCCGGAAAAGGGGGAAAAAAATGGCGGACAGCCTTGCTTGGCGACCCCCGTGAAATGGTCGATCGACCCCAAATGGGGTCCCGACCCATAGGTTGAGAACCACTGGTTTACTAAATCAATTGGCTGGATCAAATACACCATAATGCATAAAGCATCATAAACTGAAAACACTGCCTGGGTTCCCATGATACTCTAAATTACAAAGTAGCAAATCGCCTTTTAGTTTAAGATTTTTTTGTGAACTCTATTAATACTTCATTGACAAAAGCTAGGAAATGTATGTATAATTCAAGACTGAATTATAGTCTCTGTTACTGTCCCCTATGATGTTCATGTTTTCAAATAACGATTTATACAGAAGCACCGCTGCACGATAAAGTGTGCACACTGCATTTGAACAATGTCAACTGTGTATGTATGTATGTGTGTGTATCTCCTTCAAACCTCCAGAGGTTATCTTCTTCATACATCTTACTTTCATTAAAATAGCCATCTGTATTTTCTGTTTACCTTTTTGAAAATTGGTAGATAAGCCGCAGATCTATCAGAATAAGCAACCATTAATATGTGATTTAATTTTGTACACTAACAGATTATCACAGACTCACAGAAATTGTAGAATTGGAAAGGACCACTAAGATGATCTAATCCTGCCACAGGAGACATACTGTACTGATCTTGGGATAATAACCCCCACAACAGCCGTCCTTATGACCTCTGGACAAAGAATGAGTCACAAGTATAATAAATAAGACAGTCGCTTTAGCCAGGCTTCAGAGTGGATTGCCCCTTACTCTTGGGAATACTACTTGCAGGGAAAAAAACCCCAGTCTCTCTTTCTCTCGCCAACCCAAGCAGGAAATCTGTGTTGATAAGCGAAGCGGTCGCAATGCGACCCAGATACACGGACTGGCTTGACCCACAGTGAATACCAGACCGACAAGGTAGGAGCGGAAGGGCAGAAGGTTTAAGACGACCGGAATCTGACACGTTCAACCCTAATGTTTTCTTCTTATGCAAACATCCGGCGGCTCTTCCTAGTCCTGCCGGGCTAATAACCAGCTTCCCCGCCGCCCAAGCGGCGAAAGAGATCCTCGCGCCACCCCCGACCCTGCTGATGATCCGATCCGGTTTCTCGATCTCCCTTACCGCCGGGACCAGCTCTACTTCACCAAGACTTCAGATGCAACACGCAGCTACCCCGCTCTTGCCAGCTCGCCGCCCGCCCCGGGGCTGCGGTAAACTCGGGAGAGTAGCCTCGTCGCTTTCCTTCTCTCACCTCCGCCTGCGGCCACCTCGCAAGAGTTCCGGGGAGCCCCTGGCTCCGGTACAGCCAAATTAGGATCGAGAAGCCAGAGAGAAGGAACGGGACGGAAAGAAACCAGACGCCCGCCGGCGGACTCCCGAGCACAGCGGCAGAAGCCAAAGGTGTGAGCCACCGAGTGCCAGATGCCTAGAGAGGACCGTGCCATGTAAACAGAAGGCTAGAATGCCAACCGCGGGAAACAGAGCGCTCGGAGGAAGCGGAACCGCCGGTGACGCTCCGACGCTAAAATTGTCCGGGTGCAAACTGTGCTCTCTGTCGAGTTCTGCAAGGTCACCACGTGAGTAAGGATTGGCGCTCGCCTTGTAAAAAAAACAGCGCTCAAGCGTGAAGATGGTTTTCGTTGCGTTGTCTTCCCCTCTCTTCGTGGGACGGCAGTTGACCCTGGCCGCCTCGCCTTTATACTCTGGGCTGCGGTTCTCGGTGCGGGGCCTGAAGGGTCAGAGTGTAACATCCGGGCTCCACAGCCTGAAAAAATCTTGTTCTCTGGAAGCGAAAATCGCCCAGATGGTCATAAAAGCAGAGCAGGATTCGTACTCGGATCGAAGGTTCATTGTCTGCCCCCAATTAGCGCACAAAGTGGCCTCCCAGGTGACGAGGGGGATAAATTTTGTGGAGTCCAGAACCTTTCTCATGGAATTCGAGGCAGGTGAGCGTTACTTAAGGGGAGCTTTTTTAGGGTAAAAGCTAAGCACCCTTGAAGGTGATATGATGATAATAAAGTTGACATAAAGCTGTGAGGAGGAATTCACCAGGTTTGTTGCAATACCTGTTAGAGAAAGGGCGTCTTCTAGACCAGGGCTTTTCAACCAGTGGTACGGGTACCACCTGTGGTACATTGGCACCTGGCAGGTGGTACGCGACCATCCTAGAAAAGTGTTAGCGGGGGAGGGGAATGAGCTGAACCGATGTCAGCACCACACAAGCCTGAGCGAGAGACGGCTGGAGCTGCAAGGCTGTCAGGGCTCAGCGGAAGCGCCAGGATCAGTGCCAGGCTCCAGCTGGAGCTCGGTGCTGATCCTGGCATTTCTGCTGAGCCCAGAAGAAGCGCCGATCAGCTGGAATGTTGCAGCATCTCCAGGGTCTTGTGATTTACATTCAGATGCTTGGCAACTGATTCATATTTATGACGGTCACAGTGTCCCAGGGTCATGTGAAGTGAGCAAAACCTGCTGCAACCACCCAGCAGATGGGGGGGAATAAAAACCAAACACCCCCCCCACCCCACTCTCACTGCCAATCCTCAACAGAAATGCTCATAACAATGGAAACCTCGGACAGGAGGAAGAGTGCCGCCAGGTGGGCAGGCAGGTGTCTTGCTCAGCTGTGGCTTGGGGGGCACTTTTTTCAGTGCCATTGTAACTTCGAACAGTCACTAAGCGAACTGTTGTAAGTCGAGGACTACCTGTATTTTATCACTTTTTTCCTTTTTTGGGGGGGGGTGTCAAGTTTTTGACACCTTGCTAGGCGACTGGTGGTACTTGGATATTGCCATATCCTAAAAGTGGTACAATGGGTGAAAAGGTTGAAAAGCCCTGTTCTAGGTATTTACTGCTTGGTAGCTTTGGTATCTTGACCGTTGTGCTGCAGTAGCAATCAGCCTGCAGCAGATTATAATTTTCAATAGAAGAAAATATATGTAGCTCAGAATAGGACTGTGGAGTGCTTGGTGCTGTTTGAACTTGTTGGCTTGCAGACGTTTCATTACCCAACTAGAAAACATTATCACTGAAGCACTGATGTTACCTAGTTGGGTAATGAACACAAACAAGCTAAGAAGATCAAAAGCTCCACAGATTATAATTTTTTAAAATGACAATCATTTTATATTACTAAAAATTCATATTGTGTATTTCTTGAAGAATCATCTCCTCTGTGTAACTTTACAATCTTATAACAGCTCCCTTGAACATAACTCTCATTGAGTTGAAGGGATTTCCATCCAGAAATACATAGTTAATCTAACAAATATATTTTTGTTTCAGCCTTATTATATTTTAAGTGGCTTGCATCATCACACAATTATTGAAAAGACAAGGTTTTTTTGTTATAAAGACATTTGAAACCTGTTCTGACAGATCTCATGAACTGGCTTTCGTGAAAATATTATTTAGTAAAAAATTGTAAACTAGAGAAAATTATCTATGTTGGATCTATAGAACATAGAAAATGATCTATGTTCAGTTACATTAAAAAGCAACCAACCTTTTCAGGTATTGTTGCATGCATTAAAAATTAAAATGAAAAAGTGGTTGAAATATCATAAAACTGCTATATCTTGCTAGCTTTCATGCAAAAGAACTGAGAGCTAGCAGGATTTAGCTATTTCATACCATTGTCAGACTATGTCAGATTTTAGGGTTTCATGAACATATCTGGGATAACACAGGCACAAAAGCTATTTCTCTGATAGCAGATTGAATTGGGAGTGACCACTTGGAGGAATAGAATGCACTTTAAATACAGGTAATCCTCGAGTTACGAATGTAAGGGAGCCTGCCCATTCCATTCATAACTCCAACATTTGTGGGAACGAGATCACTCCTTGCTCGTTAAGTCTCACGTGGCTTATTAAGTGCACATGAGGTATCTCAGGGTGGGGAAGGCCATGGAGGGCTTAGTGATGGAACAGGCCCCCCAAGGCCTCCCTGACCCACTAAGATACCACATGTTTCCCCCTCCCTTCCTGCCGCTTCGGACTTGCTTACCTTGCAAAAATCCTCTCTGCTGCTGTTTCTTTCCCTTTGAGGGAGAGGAGAGTCCGCTTCGAAATGCTTTTCGCGCCAACAATGGAAGCTCCTGGGTGCTGTAATATGCGAGTTCAGAAGAGATCATGGCCCCCAGAACCTTTCATTCTGGGGGGGCGAGCGTTTGCTTTGTTTGCTTGACTATGGGGCAAAGCGTGAAATTGAAGTTGGCCAGGTGCAGAAAGCAATGCTGTCCATGGCCCAGGTGCACTGCTCGCTCGCATGCGCCTGCCTTAGTTTGAGGGCAGGAACAAAGTCTTCAACTGAGCTGGCAGGCATCACGGGGAGTGTCTCTTTGCACCTGCATCCAATTTGCTGGCAGCAGTGGCAGCCACCTGAGTAGCCATGATCTCCCCTCCTCACCCAGCCATGAGCTCGCCCAACCTACTCCTTGCCTGACCGGCCGGTAGCCCAAATCCTAACTGGTTTTCTCCTTGTCATCCTCCCAACTCAAGTGGTGACAGAAATTGCGGCAGAGAGGAGACAGATCTTCTCAAGGTGAGTCCAGGGCGGCAGGAAGGGAGGGGGAAGTGGAGGCAGTTGTGGGGAGCGGGGGAGGGGGGATAGAGTGAATGTTGCAGAGCCTCCGCAGTCATTCGTAAGGGCACACAACTGCCGTGGTGCTGGAACATTCGTAATTTTGGGATTTTCTCGTAAACACTAGGGGGCACTTATGTAACTTCAAACGAGCGTTAAGTGAACACTCGTAACTCGGGGATTACATGCAGTGTTGCCTCTTTCTTGATCAAGATGGATTTTCCAAACCAGGTAGATACCACTATTGGCAGCTGAACAATATTTTGTTTCTTCTCTCCTTTTAGGATTAGGCAATATCTTTATAGATAAATGTGCATTTTTTGACTTTCAGGTAGAATATTTTGGTTGCTATCTCTCTTTTAAATAAAAATAGAGGTTTTTAAATAAATTCTAGAATGGAGTATTAAACAATGGCTATTTTTAGGTCCTGGAGTGTTGACTCGAAAGCTGCTTAATACTGGAGCCCATGTTATAGTTCTAGAGAATAATAAATCCTTTCTTCCTAACTTAGAGGTAGGTATTGTCTTAATCCCATTATAAATCTCTGCATTTTCATCTTAAAGCAAGCTGGAAAACCCTTCTGATATTTCTGCATTATGACATCCATTGTTCCCAGGTGTTATGTGCTCCTGGCTACTTTCCTTCGTGACCAGAGGCAAGCTCGCCTGACCAATAACTAGCCAAGACACAGTGAAGGCCTTTTGTTTCATTTATTGCAATAAGTGGGGAGAGAAGCTATCAAAGCTTGGTTCTCTCCAAAGTTTCAATCCAAAATATTCCCTTCTTTATATAACCCTGTCCTGCCACCACATCCCTCCTCTTTCCCCATTGGCTGAGGTACTATGAGGTTACACTCTTTCCGACTGCTTCCTACATATTTCCTGCTACATACTAAATCATACATCACATGTACATTAAAATTAGGTGATAATTTATGCAAGGTGTGTCAGTTAATATTAATCAACTAATTGCACATGTTCAGTTGTCTGAGTTCTGGACCCCTTTTTTATGACTTCTTAGAAAAATAGGTTCTTTCCTGTTTTGTTAGTTATCTCCTCTTACAGCTCCTTTTCCCATTCTGAAGACCCAGATAACAATTTTGCCTACATGTTTCTCTTACATCCTCCCTTTATGCTATCCTTTCCTGGTTCCCATCCATTGTTTCTTTGGTAAGCTTGTTTCTCCACTCAGTAAGCTTCCACTGCGGCAAATGCAATTTTAAAATTTTCTTTCAATATTAAATTTTGAAGACCTTTCCTTTACTTCTATCACAGGTCAGTGTGAGTGATATCAACAATCTAAGCAGGAAGTAATTGACAAGAATAGAATTGCCTAGAGAAAGGCTATTTCAGGTGTTCTGGTTAACCCCTAATTGTATGTTTGTATTTAGTCTCTAAAGCAAGAATTTGAAAGCCAATTGGACGTAGTGCATTCCAACTTCATAAAATTGGATGGTAATCCATATGCACTGTTGAGGGGTGAATTATGTTCTGAAACACTTTTTAACAACCTGAGAATCTCCGAAGTTCCTTGGACATCAGGTAAATTACTATACATGTTTGTTTATTGTAAACTGATAAATTTAAATTGTACATTCACTTTTTCTTGATCTTATGAATTTGAGGTGTCTCCCATTCAGACAGAATCATGTAACTAAATCATTTCAATATAAAAATTATAACATGAAAAGGAAAATGGCATTTATTAAATTATCTTCACATTAGTCCAAAATATTTTTTTAAATGCTGAAGCAGAAACATATTAAGACTTGACTTAAAGAAAATTATGCTAAGGAAGGATTCCATAATTTCTTTTGAAGTTATCAAATTTGAAGGCTGTCTATAGATATAAAATAACCAGTGAAATTGGTGCCATTTCTGCTTGCTAAGTCTCTGATAGAACTTTTTAATAATCTTTTGAATGTGAATAAGAAGTGGGCTTTCATGAACAAAACATAACTAGGAAGATGAAAGTCCTGAACACTAATAGTCATATTGCTGATAATAGTGCTTATAATAGTTTTTAACTTTTTGATAGTGGCGAATATCTGTAGCTTGGGTGTAGGATGAGAGTGGAGGTTCCTTCTTCGAGCTTGTGGATTGGATTGCAAACATTTTGTTAGTAGGCTAGGTAACATCTTCAGCAGAATTTAGGGAATGTCAGGGTTGGTGTTCTACTTATAAGGGCTTTTAGTTTTTTAATTTAATACTAGATTGCTGATTTAAGATTATTTGTCCTAATTTTCAAACATCATGATTTACTTTAAAAACAGATATTCCTCTAAAAGTGGTTGGAATTGTCCCCCGAAAAGAAGAACGGACCTTTCTTTGGAAATATACTTATTTTTTATATGAATGCAGCTCTATATATAATTATGGAAGAATAGAATTGAACTTGTTTGTCAGTGAAAGATTGTACAAGGTTTGTATAAAAAAATTGCTAGTAAAGTCAACTTTGAAATTTTATTTATTTTTATCCTATCTTTTTTATTTTTATAGATAACTCAAGGCAGTGGACAGACATAATAACTCCTTCCTCCTCCTATTTTCCCCATAACAATCCTGTGAGATGGGGTTGGGCTGAGAGAGAGTAACCGGCTCAAAGTCATCCAGCCAGCTTTCATTCCTAAAGCAGGACTAGAACTCACAGTCTCCTGATTTCTAGTATTGCCTTAAGTACTAAACCAATTTTTTTTAAACAAAATGACATTTTAAAAACAATTCTAAAATATATTGATGGATTTATAATGTTTATTTTGAATTTAGGATCTGTTGTAATATGTTGCCTTTACTGTATCATTAAAAAATGTGTTGTTATACAGGTAGTTTTTGCTTGCCAACAGTAACTGGGGCTGACAACTGTTGCTAAACCATGTGATCGGTAAAGCGTAATGTCACAAAGTGTTGGCTTACAACAGCAGTTGCAACAATTCCAGTTGCTGTCATTAAAGCAAACTACATGTGGTTTTCATGTGATCATTATTTGCACCCTTCTGCCATCTTTCCCATTGATTTTGCTTATTGGACGCTGGCAGTGAAGGACACAAATGAGGATCACGTGTGGGATTCTATGTTGTCGTAATTGCAAGACGGTTACCAAGCACCTGAATCTCAATCATGTGACTATGGGGACACTGCAACTATGAGGATTGGTCATCGGTACCCATTTTTCACCGCTGTCATAGCTTCAAATAATAACTGAACAGTTGGTTGTTAAATAAGGAATGCTTTTAACTTTTTCAGTGTTATTTGAGTTATCTTGAAGATATTCTCACATAAGAGATGACATAGAAATAAGTTATAACCATACCTAATCTAATTTACATTGGCAGTAGAAAGTATGATTTATAGTCAAGGGGTATAAATCATATGTAGATTTTCATATTTAAGAAACATTTAGGAAGATCTAGCAGTGTTCACTGGCCTGTGTAACTGACACTGCTGAATTGCAAAATCCCTATATTCACTGCATTTTCTGCCATGTGGAATGAGAAAAAGGAAACCCTCTTTGTGAGATACTGAATAAAATCCATTCTATTTTCAGTGTTATTCAAATAGAAAAAAATGGGCAACATTTTTCACGATCAACTTATTTTAGAGAGCGTTTCTGCGCTGAAATAGGCAAATGGAGGAAAATGTATTCTGCCAATAACTGGAGATATTTTAGAGCCACGCTCTGATACAGAATCCAGACTATAAGAAATTAAATGACACTGTTAAGCTATGGTAATTTTCTGAAACATAATTAGTCAGTTCAAACTCCTATCAATTCAAGAATAGTCTGTCCAAGTTAATGTTTAAATAATGAACTGGAAAACAAGCTATCATTTCTAGTCCTATTCCAAATGAATCTCATTTTCTCATTAAAATTATTCTAGAACTAACTCTTATTTCTAAAAGTTTGATTTGCAGGTATTCATGACTTCAGTAATGAAGATATTGAATGGTCATCTCAAAGGTGCTTTTTCAAAAGGCAAGTGGACTTTGTTTTTTCCTTGAGGAAGACGTTTCATTTCTCATCCAAGAAGCTTCTTTGATAAGAATTGAAGTGTCTTTCTCAAGGGAAAAAGTTCAGCTGCCTTTTGAAAAAACACCTTTGAGACAACCATTACGAGTCTGTCTGAGAATCTCCATAGACCTATTGAATTGTTAGTTCTAAGGCTGGATGCTCTACCTGTTGTTTTTAGTTAGGTTTTCTTTAAATTTAATCATAAGTCCCATGTTTTTCACTGTGACTTTTACTGCTAGAGCTTGCAGATATTTGTATTTTCAGCTAATTCAGTTACATAACTAATGTAGACATCATTAGAATATTATACTCTACACAAGTTTTTGTATCTTTGGAACTGTAATAGATTTCTATAAGAAGGAAGCTAGGAAAATATTAGCAAAAATAAAGTTGATTTTATCACCTATTGCCAAGAATACTGCAGGACTTGTATGGGCAATTGCCAAGAGTCAGTAATGATTTTAAGGCACACACACACACACACATACAAAAGCAACATATGGCACATCCAACATAATCTCCAACAAGCTGTCTTGCATACCTTCATTCACTTTTTAGCATTTCTTGGCTCACTGAGGCTTTCAAGTGTTGATTCGGGTTTTCATAATAAAATCAGAAATATAATGTAAAATTACTGCTTCTGTCTTTGCCAGGTGTTTGTTGCAAAACCTCCAGATAAAAAATATTACCAGACACTAAGCGTACTTTGGCAAACAGCTTGTGATATTCATCTTCTGCATAAGGTGAGCATTTTGTATATGCAGCAATTAATGATGCAAACCTGCTTGTCTTGCACATTTATCGCTTAACTTGATACTAAAAATTTGGGACATGTTTATTGAAATGAGTGAGATGTGTGAAGACAGTATTTTGATCATCTCAAGTGTTATATAGTAATGTGGAACTTGACAAATTATAATATCCACTTTACCTCATCTCCTTTTTTATGTGCTCACGTATGGAGATGCTACAGTAAGAGGTGGCTCAGGAAAGTCTCTTAACCTAGTTTATTTATTTATTTTATTTACTTCATTTATACCCCGCCCTTCTCCCGGAGGACTCAGGGCGGCTTACAGCCAGTTTAAAACAATCCCACATAAATACCAAATACAAATCTAAAATAATTAAAAATAAATATTTGAATTGGCCGCTCTATTAAAATTTTGTTAAAACCAATTAAAATACCCCTAGGCCAGTCCTGCCTGCTGAAACAGTTGAAGTGTTTTCAAATGCAGCGAGCTATGCAGTGAGAACATCTCATAAGAGAAACTGACTTGTAGCACTTCAGCGATCACTTCCTGCATTTATCAAGTTGCTATACTGTAAATTCTGAAATTGTTTTTGTTAATAACAGAATGCTTAATTTCTTAGTCTTACACAAAGCAATGTAAGTGTCTTCTTGTGTATTCTAATCACACTATGTTTTATTTATGATGGGGGATTGCTGTACCCTGAAAATTTACTGCTGAAATCTACGGGAAGCAAGATAATAAAAAATGGACTTCTATTCCATGTATAAACCTATTGTCAAAATCTCTATTTAGGATGCCAACATTCAGAATGCTGAATATATAATTGATTTTAGTGCTTCTTCAGTCTTTCTTTCATATCTTGGCCGTAGTATTTTAAAGCTACACTAACTTTCATTGTTTCCTCTCTTCTAGGAGCCTTGCTCTTCATTTTTAACTACTTCAAGGAAAAAGTCCTTGGGATCAAATAGTGGGGTGAGCTTTTAATATTTGTCAGTCCTAAAATAAATGCAGTGTGAATGTCTGGGTGATTACTTTTATGTGCAAGAAAAATATACAAATTTAAAGGAGAATTTTTGTAGCTCGGGGTTGAAATGAAGAGTCCTTAGTGCTCTGAGCTAACACTGATGAGTTACCTAGTTTGGGTAAGGAAATATCTGCAAGAAAACAGTGAAACCCAGCACTCAGGACTCTACAAATTAATTTGATTGGGGCTGTTCAAGATGCAGTTAATTCTTTCTTTGCAGACATATAATTGAGAGGTTTGAAAATGACCTTGGAGGTCATCTAGTTCAACCCCCTGCTCAGGCAGGACACCCTATACCATTTCAGACAAATGGCTGTCCAGTCTCTTCTTAAAAACTTCTAATGTTGGAGCATTTCCTAACAGTAAGAATAATTAACCAGTGGAACAGCTTGCCTTCAGAAGTTGTGGGTGCTCCATCACTGGAGGCTTTTAAAAAGAGACTGGACAGCCATTTGTCCGAAATGGTATAGGGTTTCCTGCCTGAGCAGGGGGTTGGACTAGATGACCTCCAAAGTCCCTTCCAACTCTGTTATTCTGTTAATTGGGCAACATAATGCTCAGAGTCACCTTGAACCATGAGATGGGTGGCAAATAAATTTAATAATAACACTATCGGCATTAACAAAATCACCATCAGTCAATTGCAAAAGGCAGCTTTACTCAGAACTGCTTATATCCTGCGACAATATCTTTAACACCATCAAACAACCACATCTACCTATCCCAGGTCCTTGGGAAGAACTTGAAAAATGTATAAAAATACCAAATCTAGTTTGAAAATCTGGCTAACTGTGAGACAAACATTGTGATAATAAAGGTGGATAAAAATGCCAAATCCAAACAAAATATCTGCTGATTGTGCAATGAACCATAATAAGTAGATTTTGGCATTTCCGATTGCAAATACACCAGATTTAACTGTGGCTGAAGAATTATAGATAATTGGTATGGCAGTACCAGGAGAAGACAAAGAATTGGAGAAAATCCCAAATTATCAAGATTTGAAAATTGAAATGGAAAGTTTATGGCATAAGCTGGCCATTGTGGTCCCAGTGGTTATTAGCACAGTAGGTTATCGGCAAATCTTGGATGAAACTTAGAAAATCTATGTATTGACAATATTTCCATCTGACAGTTGCAAAACTGCTTGGATCTGTATATATATTTTGCTTATACATTATGAAATACTAGCTTCTTGGGAAGAATTGAATGTGTCTGAAGGCCAACGAACATAACTTATACTAAAGAACTATTATTTTACATTTTTCTGCATATAATAATAGATTAATAAAATATATATGCATAGACATTCTTTTTACCAAATTCCTAATGAAGTTTTCAGACAAGTTTAATCTGATCAAGTTTATAAAAAAATATTAACTTGGTTAAAATGTATTTGAGTTAATTGTTAAATTGAGATTTTTTTTTTATTCTTCTACTTTCTGCAGAATGAACACTTATATTTAGTACAACTAACACCACGCAAAGATTTATTTACAGACTTCTTGACAACTGCTAATTCAAAAATATTTATTATGATGTTAAAGCAGTGTTTTGGTAAAGCCTCAACTAAGCTACTCAACAAATTGAAGTAAGTAAAATTAAATTTCCTCAATTGCAAAACCGCATAGACTAATGTTTAATATAATGTGTCGTGCCATAAATAAGTACAATGGTATATAGTTACCATTACATATGCGCATGTATGTATTATACATGTGTAATGATACATCCTCTCCAACAGCCAACACACAGATAAGCAGGGATTAACACCAGACAAACACCAGAAAACAATACCCTAATCCACGGGTGTCAAACTTGCGACGTCACGTGACACGTCCCGATGTATTGTGACTTCTTTCTCATTGCTGACAATGGGGTGGGTGCGGTTTTGATGTGACTCATTCAGCCTGCGGGCCGGCAGTTTGATACCCCTGCCCTAATCCAAGAAACTATAAAGGAGAAAACAACACTCTCACCAACATTGGCAGGGCAAGCTACTATATATAAACAGGCAGTAAACCTCACACTCACTAGTACTGATCTTAGCTAGTTCAATAATGAAAGGGAGCAACCAAACTCAGAGAACACCAAGGACTCCATAGAATATATTTTATTTTGACAATATGGTACACAGTGAAGTTAATGTATTAAAGTAAAAAGCTTGTTATGGATAAGATTGACAGCTAGAAGGAAGAAACATAGAAGATATTTTTCAGTGCTGGAATTCAAAAAGAGCTCTCAGTCTTTTACGGAGGAAAAATTTCATAAAATAGGCAACAGGACAGTAAATTTATGGAGGCAAAGGAGATACAGTTGTATTCTGCAAAAAGGAAATGCAATCTATTGATAATTCCGTTAT